GAAATAGTAATTTCAAATAATGACTGCAAAACAACATGAGGTCAGAAACATGAGGATTTGAACTTTCCTATGAGCTTTATTGAACTGTTCCTTCTGTGACTGAGCAGTATATTAGGGAATTGCTTTCCTTTTTGAAGCTTCTATCTGTTGCATAGCAATTGGAGGTATCCGTATAATTCTCGTAAAAACAGGTAGAGATCTAGCAAGAGAATTCTTCCATTGATGCCTGTATATTCAATACTGTTTATTAAAGCAGGATTATATGAGCAATCTCCCTTGTTTAAGAGAGAAAAATAGGTACTATGTATTTTCTGACTTCGAGAGTACAGACTGCAAAAGAGTATTACTAGAGGTAAAAACATTTTTAAAAACATACCATTGCTAGGAACAATGATATATATATATTTCTGAATATATGGTATATATTCAGAACTTGGGTGTAAGAAAACATGGTATGGTGTTTAGTGGTAGCACACACTGGGATGTACTTGCAGCAGTGGAAATTAATTTAGATTACTTATGCCAGCTATTGTTGGTTTGTTTGTTAGAGAAAACACAAAAATGAAAACAGGAGGAGAAATTTGTGATTACAGGCGTGTATTAGTGCTTGCAGCACATGCCTACAAGATGTTGAGGGGATGAAGATAGGGAAATCAGAGTTGAGAAATGTTTTTCAACATGCCTTGATGAATGTGACCATTTTTCTAGTAGCCAGGGGTTATCATAATGAAGTTATGTATAAAATTCTGTCACACTTGTAATGCACAAATTGTATTTATGGTAAGGACTGATGTACCACAGTATATTTGAGTTTAGCTAAGGTTTCAAACCTGTATTTAATAATTGAAAATATATATAATTCAATGAGCAGTAGAATCAAAATATAAACTTTTTGTTTATTTTTAGAGCAAGTTAGAGTATTTGAAATGTGTTGGTGGTATTCTCATTTTTTGAGATGCTAGTTAAAGATCTTTCTCTATTATCTTTCAGTCTGCAAGAATATAGCAGGATGCATATGTAGTATGATAAATCCTTGTGCTACACTGTATATTTGCTACCATCAGCATGGATGCCTTTACTGTTTGCTTTATTCTCACATTACTTGTTAACAAAACAAAGTAGATTATAAAAGCGTAAAATGCAAGACAAAGAGGTTTAGAAAAACTGACAAATCTAGCTCAAAATCAGTGAAAAATCCATGTATGCACAATAGAGACAGAGCAAGCATATTGCGTATTATTCGCACACAAAGGCTGCTATTCTCTAAGAAAATACTGTTAAACTAGAGAACATAAGATCTTCTTTATCAGAAAAACTCAAGGCCCCATAATCCAAACCAGCAGATTTTGACTAAACTAGTAGATGGAGAATTTACACAGAACATTTCAGAATTACGTTTGAGTGAAAAAGTAGAAAGGATTTGCTTTTTAAAAACTCTCCCCCCAAACAAAATTATTAAAGATTATGTCTAAAACTCTTGATAGCTATGAAGAAATTTTCAGGCAGACTTCCTTTATTCACAGTTTTGTAAACTTTAATTTTTTGAGACCAGTTAGTCCTCTATTCCACCACTTGAGGTTGCTAGCAATTTAATTTTAGCATAATCTTAAAAAAAGCATTTTATAAGAGTTTGAAAAGCCATAAAAGATCATATTATAGACTTGTTAGATTTATTTAAGATACTATCTGCAGAAACAGTCTTCACCTTAGCATGGAAAAAACAGATCAATTGTGGGTTTTTTCAATCTTTGAAGAACAGATATAGAAGGGACTTGTGTTTCAAGTCAGTAGCTAAAAAAGGATGTCAGCCTCTATCTGTGTAGAGATCATTTGCAGTTGAATTTTAAGAAATTATGAGAAAGCCCATAAAATCCTAGTGTTGATTTAAAAAAGCATCTTCATCTCTGCCACAAAACTCACTGCATTCATTATTGCTTGATTAGCGTTAATTTGAAATAATTTGCCTGTCAGTATTTTTTTAAAAATAATATTTGTTAAGTAGCCAAAATTGAAAGCATGTAAATTCTTATTGTTGTAGAAATTCCCCTGTACACACTGAATGATAATAATAGTAGAATTCAGTATGATTATTTTGCATTGTTCATATGTGGCCTTACAGGGTGACAAATGTTGAAACGTGCATGAGTGGTGATCCTGTGTTTTGCAAATTATAGTACATTTTCATTGAGAATATTTTCATAAGCATATCTTGGAGTTGGGTGGATGACTTCAAGTCCTTGGGTGGACAGGATTGCTAAGACTTCTGAAGTCATCATGGCAGGGAGAATGAAAGCGTTAACTGTTTATTATTTTTAAACATCATCTGTTTGTTTGGGTTTTGAGGTTTTGTTTATTGGTTTTGTGTGGTTTTGTGGGTTTTTTGGTATTTTTTTTGGGGGGGGGATAGTTTATGGTTTGTTGATTTTGTTACAGTCTAGATGGCTTTCCAGAGAAGATTTTCTGGTTTGTATCCTGCTCCTGAAAGGGGAATTGCTTTAAACTGAATATGAGGTTGTATAGTCAGTGCTGTAGGAGCTGGAGAATTAAAACACATTGTAGTAGTTAAGAGCACTAAGTTTTTACCTTCTAGACTGCCTTGGGGCTTTTTTCCCCTCCTTTTTCTCCTCCCTACCCCCCCACCCTCCCCCACCCCCCCAAATTTTGAGTCCACATGTCATTTAAATAAGTTGTAGCAGATTTGGAACGACAGCTGACTGTATTATCGAATGAGAACCAAATTTATGGAAACTGAAATTAAAAAGGGAAAACTTTTGAGGATAACCATGTGAAAATTGTCTGCTCCCCACCTGTCATGATGAAAACAGCACATTAATTTTCCATTACACAATTCAACTTGAAACTGGGAAAGTATTGAAAATCTGAAGTGCCTTTGAGGTTGCATGAAGAAACAATAAAAAAAAGCTAATAACTTTTCAATTCAATGTTTGAGAGATTATAAAATGCTGGTCTTTGAGCCTGCTGAAGGCTGTGTGAAAACGCTCAATACAGCCTGTGATGAATACTGTTCCACAGTGGGCTTTTAGAGAATCTGCTTGGCTGATGTGCTCAAGTGCTTTCAGCATTAAAGAGTCCTACTGCTCTCACTGTATGAGGTTGTGTCAAGTTGTACACTGACTTGGTGTTTGGACTTACAGTTTCTTCTGGAAAAAGAATTGCTAGACCTGAATGGGACAAACTAGATGTGAAACATTTCTGAAGAATTTTAAGTCACTGTGCAGTCTGGTTTTTCATTAGCAGTATATATTCTCATTTTGTTAATTTAGTGTCCGTGGGTCCTTTTTCAATGATTATGAACTCCTGTTTCCTGTATCCATAAATTATGCAGACTAACATGGAATACAGTGGTACATGTACTAGCAGCCCAAGTTGCTTTTTCAGCATGAAATTCTAGTATTGCCTGCTTTTTAAAGGATGCTGGGTTATGTTTGAAGCTCTGACCTTTAACTTCAGGGCTCTCTGTGCTGGGCCCAGCCTCTCCATGAGTGATGCTGACAGATAGGCTTCCTTTGCTCAGCAGATATGTTTGCATGAGGGATGTTGCTTGCTGTGCAGGAGATAAGTTTCTCTGGTGAGAGCAATTAGGTGTTGTGATGTGTTTGTTTAGGGAATTAGGTTCTTTTGCCCAATGTCCAAAATAATGTAAATTCAATTATCAACATTTAGATTAATAATTAAGCTTCAATATTTGTATCTTACTCATTGTAGAAGGGATTTCAAACTTCTTATTCCTTTATTATGACTATTAGACCTCTATGCTAGGGCAGTATTTGTGTAGTGTTCATATTTGGTGCAACTCCCTGACCATGGATTGATTTTTCTTATTGGTCATTTTTTGCTAGACAGAATGTACAGTTAGGATGCACTAATGCAATATTTTCTTCATGTTATTCTTTAAAACATTACCAACTTTGATGACCACCCAAATAAGTTGTCTTTATCACATGATTGGTATGCATCCATTCAATCTTGTGGTGTTTTGTGGGGCCTGAAGTGTTCCTTTGGTATATGGTAAATAAGGAGATTAAGTTGTTTAAGAAAGTGTCTCACTATTTCATTAGTTACTCTTTTTGAAACATGAATGGTTTTATGCAGTACTCTCACTTGATTTGGCAGGCTTTACAATGCCACCACCAAGTTCATTGTAGATTCCTGTTTATGAAACATTGTAGGGAAAAAAAAGATGCCACTTATATTAAATTATAATTATTATTCAGTAGAATGTGGATACATGGCTTTCTTCATTCTAAGCTCCTTGTTAATGTGCATAAGACCATCAATTTCTACACTAAGGTGCTCTGTATTTAATTGTAGGTTGAATTCTGAATTCAGATGCCAAATGGATAACGATCCCCTAAATTTCCCTCCTTTTTTCAGTTTATCTCTTACAGAAGTCTCTGTTACAATATATGAATTTAGGCTTTTGAAACTAAATTTGAAAGTGAAAAAATCAGTTTCTGTTTCCATGGTGTTCATATGTAAGTAGTAATAAGAATGTTCAATAGTGTATTTAAGAGAATACTTGAGAGTCTGATTTTTTTCTGTAGCATAGATCACTTCTACTGTATCACTGTATTAATTTGTAATTGGCTAGACTGACTTTTCCCAGATAACAGTTACTCAGTGTTACATTCAGAATTACTGATTCCACCTTTGAGGAGTTAGGGAAGTATTCATTGCGTTTGTTTTTAATACAAACCAGGCAATTGAGGCTGTTTCTTATAAAACAGTTTGTTGTAGTTAGCTCTGATGTTCTCTGGGCAGCGTTGTTCGGAAATATTCTAGGCAATTGTTCTCTTGAAAAGGAAAATAATACTTAGAAATGTTATCTATATGGACTCTATTTTGAAAAATACACCCGAGTATTTTTCAATTGCTTTGGTAGGAAATTATTATGCCCCATATATGTATTGGTCATACTAGTTTCAGACATTAATTTCTGTAATTAAATTGCTTTTTTTTCCTAACTGATCTATTTGCAGATGTGATGCAGATCCATCTGCCCTAGCTAAATATGTTCTGGCTTTGGTAAAGAAGGATAAAAGTGAAAAGGAGCTGAAGGCATTGTGTGTTGATCAGCTGGATGTATTTCTTCAGAAAGGTATGGACTTTGTCATAACAATTAAGATTGAGTGAAAATTCTGTCTTGTTCAATTTATTCAAGCAGTCATTTACCATAGAATCGGTCTTTGATCTCTTTATTAGCTTTGTTACTTTGTAGAATGTAATTCAATTTTCATAACATAATTTTAAAAGGCCCAGGTGTATAGGTTAGCACGCATATATTAGGTATATGTTTTGTTAGTACTTGCAGAGGCACAGAACGATAGAATGGTTTGGGTTGAAAGGGACTGTAAAAGTCCTGTAGTTCCAGCTCTCTATCCTGGGCAGGGACATCTTGCACTAGACAGGGTTCATCAGGGCCTTGTCTAACCTGGTCTTGAATGCTTCCAGGGCTGGGGCATCCACAACTTCCCTGGGCAAGTATTGAACCTCTGTGTGTATATGACGGAAATATTTTTTCCAGATGCTTTATTAAGAGACATTAAATAATTCAAGAATTGAAAAATTTTATGAAACATTGCTCATTATTAACATGTCTTTTGACTCTATAAATGTCCTTTGAAAATATAAATTAGGAACACAGTATTTAAAGAAAATACTCTTTGTTGTTTTGCTGAATGCAGGTTTTGGTTGCTTGTCTGGGTTTATTTGAGTTATTTACTATTTATTTAAAGTAAATGTTAACCATGGTTTTGTATAATGGATATTTGTACACTCTTTACTTTCAGAAACTCAGATATTTGTGGAAAAACTATTTGATGCTGTGAATACAAAAAGCTACCTACCTCCACCAGAACAGCCATCATCAGGAAGCCTGAAAGTAGAATTTTTTCAGCACCAAGAAAAAGAGACAAAAAAGGAAGAGGTGGGAATTGATTTTAATTTACATGTACATATTTTTCATCATTCATGTAATTTGCTTAGGTGTCCAACGTCATAGTGTTTATTAGTAATAGTTATTGGCAATTTATTATAGTCTATAGCAATAATAGTTTATATTTATTAATAATATTATTAATAACTATACAACAGCATTAAAATAAATAAGATTTGTGCTTGGCATGTTGAGCACTGCTGCACAGTTTTTCTAACACAAGTGGGTGTTTCAAACGTAAACCAAGGTGGTTTTGCCGAGGCAAAGGTAAATGAGATTATTTAGTAGTGTAGGAGCTGCAGTACAACCTGCATTAGTTCTCTGGTCAAGATTTCTGTTGCAGTTGTGCTGCACTTTAATTCTCCATAAATCCAGGCTGCCATTCTAAATTGCAATTCTCATTCCTTCAGCCACTTGGTACAGATAACATCCTTTTGTCACAAGTGTTTATGTTGTTGATTGAGCCAGAAGAGTAAGTTTGTGCTTTTCAGTAGCAGCCCAAGTTTGCTTGCATGAAGGTGTTTTAAGTGTGAACGGAACTAAATAACCTGCAGATGTAAAAAAGACTTTGGTGTTGGTTGTTGAATATCCATGCCTTCTCAAATCCTCCCAAAGCCTTAATATGGTTTTTTTTCTACCTACAGTAAAAGTACTATATTTTCAGTGCAGCACTACAAAGATTATTTTATTTTCTCTCAAACAGGGCTTTGAATATTCCTAGAGATAAATAAACATTTTATGAATTTTCTCTTACTATGTTAGAGACTAAAATACTTAATTTCAGTGTTACTGCTAATTGCTCAGTGTTCAGAGTTTTTGGTTTTATTTGGTTATTCAGAAGTCTGCATTTTTAGTGCACTCATGTTTTGATCTACTTTATATATGCTTTGAATTCAGATAGTTAAAGAGGAAGAGCGAGAGAAAAAGTTCTCTAGAAGATTAAATCACAGCCCTCCTCAGTCAAGTTCTCGCTACAGAGACACCAGGTAAAAAATTTTGTTTAACCCCTTGTATTATATCAGTAATCAGATGGATTTGGATTTTTTAGTGAATTAAATACTTTGTTTCTGTGTTGTCATTTAGTAAGCCTAAAATGAAGGCTTCTATTGCTTTTACGCATATGTAGTTAAGTGGTGTGTGTAAGTGTAACCCATCTCTTGAGTTGTGCAGACCTATTATCCATAGAGTTTTAGGAGTAATTCTGCTGTTAGATTTGTGGTTTATATTGCAATAGTTATTTTGCTTGATGCTGAGTTTGAATTTTGATTTAGAAGTATTCCCTTCAATAAGTCTTAGTGTTTCCCACTTGGGAAATACGTAGTATCGGTCAGAGACAGAAATTTATATATCTTTTAAAATCTTAGGTATGGTAAAAATAAAACGAATAAGCAAAATTAATTTTAAAATCCTTCTGAGAAGAAAGAAGTAGCCTTAAGCTGCGTACAATTTGTAGCTCTTCTCTAGTTTTCCACTGACATTTCTTTAAGTTTTAAGTAGTTAAGATTTCAAATTATGGTTTAATAATTCTTGTAATTAACCTCTAATATTGCATGTTTAGAAGCCGTGATGAAAGGAAAAAAGATGAACGTTCTCGGAAGAGGGATTATGACCGAAATCCTCCCAGAAGAGATTCCTATAGGGATCGATACAACAGACGGAGAGGGAGGAGTCGGAGCTACAGCAGGAGTCGAAGTAGGAGCTGGAGCAAAGAGAGGTTGAGGGACCGTGATCGAGACCGGAGCAGAAGCCGGAGCAGAACACGAAGCAGAGGTACCAACAGTTGGTCTCTAAAATACGGTGAATGTTTTCTACAAAATTTAGAAATTTTACGTGAAAACTGTGTTCTAAATGTACTAGAATTTCAGCTATTGTTCTTGTTCCTTTGTTCAAATTTATCTTTGTTTTCTGGGGAAATGAGGCTTCTGTGATTGTGTTCTCAGTGCCAGTTTTCTTCTCTTACCCTCTGTTCTTCTTTAATATCTTTGTATTGAGGTGCCTATGCCAGCCACTTTTAAGCATTGTTGCAAGAGAGACAGAAAAATAGTTATTTCCATTTCATTAAGTTTTAGGAAACTCAGAATCTGGTTTAGGGGGATACAGAAATTAATACTGTATTTAATAAAGGTGGAACTGGCAGAGAAATTGCCTGTTTGACAGTAAATGACTTGTCAAGCAGAACAGTACAGCTCAGTTCTTTTGGTCTTGCCCCCTCTTTAGTGTCATAGGTGAAGGGCTGAAATCCTTACAATAAATATTTGCATTTGTGCATCTATCTGTAGGACTTAAAGCTTTAGTACTATAGTTTGCGGAATTAAACTTCTTTGAAAAGAGGATTGCTTTTTCAGCTGAAAAGAGTGCTTTTTCCCCTCAATACTTTTTAATGGTAAATTGGAAAAGAGCAGTGAAAGTAATTTTATATGTTTGTCCTGTCTTAGACAATGTATGGGTAAAAAACAGTCTGGTAGAACTCTCCTGTGTATTACTTTTCTTTCTGTAAAACAGGCCTTAGTAACCCAGCCTTAAAACTAGGAATGCATATTTCTGAAAATATGAGAGTAAATATTTTCCAGACAACTTATTAACAAGCAAATTAAATAACATACAGCAGTTTAACTAAAAGATTACAACATGATTAAATCTTAATTTAAGGATTATTTGCACAAACTGAAATGACAGTACCTTATGGACAATATTTTACAGTGAAAGCTTTCTTTCTTTTTCTCAGAACATGAAGAAAAGCCTGTTTTACCCACACTGATGAGGCATCTTTAAGATATTTCATAATGTTCCTTTAATGTGGAGTGAAGTCTATTAACCTATGTCATGACATAACTAGTCTGTCTTAATTGGGACACTTACATTTTATTTGGTGGTAATAGTAGAAAACAGAGAGAATCGTTTGTATGTATTCAGAATAAAAGGTCATTTTACTTACGGTATCTGCCCAGGAGTGTTCCACACCTGTCAAGCATTATTATTTCACCTATTAAGCCAAAGCTTTGCATGGAATAAATACATGCATTTGAGTGCAATAGAAAATGAAGATCAACAAAATGAAGATACAACAATAGCATTGTCTTGAAACATTAAAGATTTGTAACTTTTATAATATTTTCAAGCCATGGTTGCCCTTTTCTTGCTATTGCTTCCCTCTATTCAAAAAAACTTTCCATCTGAAGTTCTTACAGTACATGCTTTACTAAAGAAGATGTACTCTGCCTGAAGTTAAATAGGGTATCTGCTCTTCTGTGGATATATGTTATTAAAATAGCCCAGGGCCTGACTATGTACTTCACAGATTATTATTTTTCTGGTTAAACCTTCAAAACATAGAATAATGGAATAGTTGAGGTTAATGAAGACCTCTGGAGGTGGTGTAGTCTAACACCCTTTATCAAAACAAATAAACTAGAGCAGGTTGCTTAGGACCAGCTGGGTTATAAATAACTCCAAGGGTGGAGACTCCACAGACACTTAGGGCAACCTGTAAAACATTTCAATTATTGTGCATATATATTGAGTTGATGTGGAGTAAAGATATTTAGAGGGTAATGGCTGCTTCTGGTAAAAAGGTGGATAAGCAATGATCCAGTATAATGTTTATTTTTATATTTTTGTTACAGAAAGGGATTTAGGAAAGCCAAAATATGACATGGATAGAACAGATCCATTAGAGAACAATTATACTCCAGTTTCTTCTGTGACAAATATTTCGTCTGGCCACTACCCTGTCCCTACACTGAGCAGTACTATTACTGTTATTGCTCCTGCTCATCATGGAAATAACACTACTGAAAGTTGGTCAGAGTTCCATGAAGAGCAGCTGGACCACAACTCCTATGGACGACCTCCGCTGCCAAAGAAACGCTGTAGAGATTATGATGGTAAGTACATTTTTATTTTTCAATTGCTTCCTGCAGCTATGATTGTCCCCTTTCTGAAAAGACTGAGGTAATTCACCCTTCTTTCTCTGATTTTCCCTAGTATAATGGGGTTTTTCTATTGCACACTTCTTGATTGCAAATTTTACCATGTTACCACTTCTTACTAACTTCAGACATCTTGCTGTTTTAGTGTTTGTCTATTTTTTTTACTTGCTAGGACTATTTTGTATAAATTAAAAATAGTATATTAAAAATTTGTTTAAAAAATCCAGTTTTACCCAGTTTTTTTGTGTTAGGTCATGTTCTAACCAAATACTGTATTTGGTGGTTTTAACAATAGTTAGCACCTTACTGATCTCATCCTATTTTGTTCTATCTTATCTAATAGACAGTTTTTAACTAGAAAGGTCTAGAGCTAAAACTTCCCAGGTTCATTTCATTCTGTATAGGTGTTTCTTAAAACAGGCTAGGTTTTCACTTATCTCTGTCTTACGCTTTTGTTTTAAATGTCTTGTGCCAAAATACGCACAAGAGGCTGCTGCAGCTGGCAGTGCCTTAACTAAACTCAGCCAGTCAACCTGTGAGCTTAGGAGAGTTTAGATCTTCCTGTAAAGTTGCTTCTGAGGGATTTTGTTGTTGTTATTATTGTGTACCACAATGAGGAGTTTAAGTTCTGGGCCAGTTTACATTCAGAACTCTGATTAGAATGTTCTTTAAGTAAAAAAATGGGAAACTGAGCTTCCAAGTGTTGGCAGAGTTGTACTTATGAAGATAGCTTTGCCAGTGTACATCACATCAGTATGGAGTAATTGGAATTGTGAATGTGTCATTTTGTTCTGAAGTTTTCTCTCTTCAGGGGCTATACGTTTCCATCATACTGCTCTTTCAAATTTGACTTTACCCTCTACTGAATTTTTGTTCTTGTTTAACATTTCAATTTAATATTCTCTATAGCTCTTCATGAAGATTAGGCAGTACATACTGTTCCTCCACATCATGACTTGAGGAAGTGGGCACTCCTCTTTCTTCCTATTTTACCAGAGGGTGTTTCAGCCTTTTCCCTGTATTGCACTGACTGGTATTTTGGTGGTGTTTCTGTGGACACTGTTGCTAAATAATAGAACAGTCTAGGATAGAAAGGCCCTATTAAAGTCATCTAGTCTAGCATCCCTACAGTAAGCATGGTTATCTTCAAGGAGATCTTGTTGCTCAGAGCCCAGTCCAATATGACCATGAATGTTTCCAAGGATGGGGCATCCACCACTTTTCTGGCCAACCTCTTCCACTGTTTAATCGCCCTCATTATAATAATTAATTTTTCTTATATTTGCTTTGAATCTACCATGCTTTACTTTAAAACTATGACCCCTGTCCTATCACTTCAGGTTCCACCAAAAAGTTTGAAATATAAAGGCTGCAGTGAGTACTTAAATTCACTGCTCTGAGCTTTCTTTTCTCCAGTCTGAACAGACCCAACTCTCAGCCCTTCCTCCTAAGACAGGTGGTTCGGATAGTTTTTGTGGCCTGCCTCTGACCTCCTTCTGTGTTTGACTGGTTGTAAAAGAAAAGAAGTGAATGTGTATTCATTTTTATTTATATATATTTAATATTTACAAATGTGTCTGTTATATGTAAACATTAAACTATGGCAAATGGTTATAATGTTTCCTGAAATAATTGCAAAAGAGGAAAAAATTGAGTGAATTTGCCCATGTTGGAATTTCATAATATTAACTTCTAACTTTTAATAGGGGCTTCTCAAACCTTGCGTCTGTACTTATTGCTTAGAAACAAATTGATTTTGTTAACGTGGTGACATCTAGACTTCATTTTTTGTTTTCACCACTTGTTATGATACAGTGCAGAATTAGCTCTTCAAGAATAACTAACATGAGTTCTTTTTGATATTTCAGAGAAGGGTTTCTGTATGAGAGGAGACATGTGTCCTTTTGATCATGGAAGCGATCCAGTAGTGGTAGAAGATGTGAATCTTCCTGGCATTCTGCCTTTTCCAGCACAACCCCCTGTTGTCGAAGGACCACCTCCTCCTGGACTTCCTCCCCCTCCTCCAATTCTCAGTCCTCCTCCTGTTAACCTTAGACCTCCAGTACCGCCACCAGGCCCCTTACCACCTAGCCTTCCACCAGTAACAGGTAATTTAAAAAGATAAGCCCCATTTTTTTTAATATAAAAGTCTGGATCTTACTTGAATTATACACAATGCAAAATGCTGTTTTGAAGAATTACAGTTGTATTATGAAAGTTGAACTGTGCTCTACTGTGGCATAGCTTACCTCAAAATTATTCTGTCTGATGATAATTGTTGCAGAGTTGGTTGTTCTAAAATGCTGCATGCTAAATATGACTCTTTAATATGGAATAATATTTTCATTGTATTTAAGCAAAAGCATGACATGGCAAAATTCAATTCCTTCAGTATTATAGGAGAGGTTGTCCAAAATTGACTACTGTCAAAGAAGGGAAAATCCTGGAAACAACTGATCCTTACTGTTTCATTCATGGTAATAGAAGTAAAGATAATTCATGACCACATCAAATTTATGCCTGAAAATATCATTTGGAATTAATTTTAAAACTAAACTTGTAAAGTAACTAAGAAATAGTCTCAGCTTTGATTACTGTTTCACTGGAAAGTACTTCAGCTGAAGCACTAAAAATTACATGAAAACTTATAAATGACAGCCTGGCTGTCATTTATAAAGTAGTTGAAGTTTAGTGCTCAGTTGCCTTGTGTGTTATGTTAGTTTTATGGGATTATTCCTTTCTCTCTTTTTTTTCTAACTTAGGTGTCCCACTTGGTAAAATTATTCCAGAGTAATTGATATTTGATATTGCTTGGAAGTTTCTTAAACTATTTTAATTTCTATTGATAATATATTTAAGAAATATATGAATGAATGTATTTATTTCAGCTAACGTAGAATGTAACTTCCTCTGGTTTGGTCAGTTCTGCGTTACATGCTGTTTTCAAATCCGGTTCACAAGTTCAGATATATCACTTTATAACTTTTTCCAAAACCTGCTCTTGACAATGATTAAACTGAAGATCGGGCTTGACTGCTTAGCTTCGAAAGAGTTGCATTACCTGTTTTAAAAAAAGTCAAACCAACCAAACAAAAAAACTCCCTCAATTTTAAGAACCGTTCCATTGGAGTTGAAGATTTCTTCTTGATTGTTTGGAAACATAATTTCAGTCAAGTTAGTTATTGTCATCATAGCATATTTTTGTAATATACTTTTCTACTTCAAAAATAGAATTTGTTTATTTGATCAGCTTTCATTGAGCTTTAAAATGCTTCATTTGGTAAAGATGAATACTGGTCTAGCAATTAAATTTTACTTGTAGAAAGAAGGTGTTTGGTGAAATGTTAAATGATTCAAATGCTTTTCTGTCTAATCCAAGTTCTGAGTCATTTGCTGTTGGGGGTGGTTTTGTGTGATTTTACGGTACAGCATCAAGTCTGCAGCTGTGCCCTCTCAGCCCTTTTTTTCTTAAATGACCTTAAAAGCATTTCAGATCAGTTTCCTTACGAAGGGAGTATAATGAAAGTGTAGTGGATAATAAATGAATGCAGGATTTTCCTTTGTTTTTGACAGGACCACCCCCTCCCCTTCCACCATTGCAGCCTGCTGGCATGGATGCCCCCCCAAACTCAGCAACCAGCTCAGTTCCCACTGTTGTTACCACGGGTATTCATCACCAGCCGCCTCCTGCTCCACCCTCTCTTTTTACAGCAGGTGTAGTACTGAGGCTTTGCCCACAAGGTTTGCTAAATAGAATAACATTGATTCATATTATACTGTACTTTATAGAGATTATAATGGTCATAGATTGGGAGAATGTTTGTATCTTATAGATTGTGACAGTAAATTAACATCCTTATTTTCAGACTTAGTTCAAGACTGAAGTAAAATTTGCATTTAAATGTGAATTTTGACTGGAGAGTAATATTTTCTCTGTGTTTAACAGAAAACTTGGCATGACCATTTTTATGATAGTGGTTATACAACTTTTTTATTGTAACTCTATCTTGTAATTAAATTAAATATTATATCTGAAACCTTAAGGGTTTTAACTGCAATTTATTTTAATTAGACAATTTCTTTGTTACCAGAAACGTATGACACAGATGGCTATAATCCAGAAGCTCCAAGTATAACAAATACTTCAAGACCTATGTATAGACATAGAGTACATGCCCAAAGACCAAATTTGATAGGACTCACATCAGGTGATATGGATCTACCACCCAGAGGTATGCTCTCAAAGCTATACTTAGTTAGTTTAGTTGATTTTCTTACATTAATGCAGGTTGAGGAACTTTCCAGAAAATACTGGAAAATACAGCATTTTCCTAAAATCTCCTGGAATTAAGAGATGTTTAGTTGAATAGGGAACTATGGCTATAATTTCTTAGTGTGTGCATTTTTACAGGTAGAATGCAATCTCTCGCTAGAGTATTGCACAGTTTACTGTTAGCTGTAGTAACTGGTCACTTTGTATATCTTTTGGACAGAAAAACGTTAATGTTTCTATAGTAGAATCTCAGGATGATTTTTGCTACAGAGAGGAGGGAGTAATTTTTATCTCTTAGCAGTTTTATGCACGAATAATCTTAACCTCACAGTTCCTGTGGTCCTGAGAAGAAGCAGCAGCACACAAAATAAGAATGGAAAAGGGATAAAACCATTTTAAATGTGGTTTTTATTTGCATTTGTATGTATTTCTATTTAATCTTACTATGTTTTTGTTGGTGTATTTTCAGTGAGGAGTCCCCCAGTGTGATTCCTGTTCTTCAGCAAAAGTGACTCCTTTCCCAGTCCATCCATAAATCTTGCTCCTAGGTGTTACTGCCCTGGAGTACTGTGCATTTCCTATCATGGCCATTTTTGTGTGTGTCATCTAATAGTAGAATGGAGGTGTTAGCTGGAATGGTGTGAGCCTCAGAGTATTGCATGGGACATCGTGAATCATTGTGAATCAGAGCGCAGTCATCTCAAAGCAGATGCCTTCTGTCACACCTCTTTTGTTTTCTGTATGTGTGATGTTACTGTGACAAAATGAGTGCTATTAGCTATTTTGATCTCTCAGAACATCTGTTGATAATTAAGAAGTCTGTGACCAGGGTTTGATTCAGTCAGAACAAGAATCATAGTAATTTCAAAATAAACAATTGTGCTTTTCAGTGCAAATTCAGTGTGAGCAGAATACTTTTTTACAATCAAATGGGCAGAAAATAAATTTTAAAAAAGTAAAATCTTCTCATCTATTTACAGAAAAACCTCCTAATAAAAGTAGTATGAGAATAGTGGTAGATGCTGAATCCAGGAAAAGAACAATTGGTGCAGGGGATGGTGGAGTTCCTACAAAGAAGACTTGGTTTGACAAGTGAGTGACTGTTAACACAGTATTGGCTTAAGGGCTAGAATTTAATTAATTGCTTTACTGTGATCTGAAACATATATATATATATATATATATATATATAAATTGCAAACAAGTGAAACCGTGAGTGCACTAATGGTACTAAAGTAAATCATAATATAGTGTGAGCTGTATTTATTTGACTGTCTTCTATCAAAGGTAGGATACAGATAGGTGAAATTGCTTTGGATGATGCGAAGATCTCTTCTTTGAAAGTTGGCATGATATAAGAAACAGGGAAGCTGCAGTGTGATAGTTGTTAGAGATGACTGATTTTAGTTGTGAAATGTGAATTTTATTACTGCTATTTTGATTTGAGTTGCCAGGTATGTTACTGAGAAAAAACAGAGTGCAAGCTTGGAAGGGATTTTGAGAAATTGCTGGGAGTGAGGAGAGCCTTGAAGTGATAGTTATTTGAAACACTAGTGGGGAAGTTTCATGGAATAGCTAAGAAACAGGTTTTGGAGAGAAGCAATTAAAAGTTAGGAATTACCCTGACATGAGCAAATAAATATGAATTATCCCACAGATTTATGTTCTGGGGTATGCTGAGAATATAAGTGGGGAAGATAGCAGTTGTATGGGTGTGTGACCTGTACTCACCTTCACTTTTAGAAAACGGCATTATTTTTTAAGTCTGCAGATCTTTGTGTCTCAAACACATATGATTCTGTGTAAGCATATACAACTTAACATTGTGTTTGCTAGTTTTCTATGGATTTCTGGCTTGATTTTTTATTTGTTGCAGGCAAAATTTTAACAGAACAAATAGTCCAGGTTTCCAGAAGAAGGTGCCGTTTGGAAACGAAAATACAAAACTTGAATTGAGAAAAGTTCCCCCAGAACTTAACAACATCAGCAAACTTAATGAGCACTTCAGTAAGTTTGGAAACCTAGTCAACTTGCAGGTAAGAGTCAACAAAGAGAAAGCAGTATGCTTTGATGTAAAGGTAGTGGTAGTTGCTAAAAGAAGAATGGCAATTTTTTTCCTGGTTCCCTGAGACTCTTTATTATTTTCCTAACTTATTTCTTAAAAAAGATCTCATTGTTTCTAATGATTCTGCCATTGAAGAGGCAGAAATGAAATGTTCTAGACTGCTTTTAGATTTTGAACAAACGTGTTCCTCAGTGATAAGACTTTTAAGAGACATTGTTTAAAACATGTAAAATTGATTGCAGGTGGATCTTTCTCACCCATTTTATCGAGTTTGGATCTGCTATCATAAACGCTTTGTATATTCAGAGACAAATTGTAAATACAAAAAACCTGAATTTCTTATGCAAAAAGCAGTCCCTGTGACATAATTGGTTTCCATTGTAATGATGATTTGTCCCGTAAAATTACTTTGTGATTTCTTGGAATTACCTAATAAGCAATTGAAGAGAGGGGAAAGCAGTGAAATAACTAGGGGCTGACTTAGGCTGATGTTACATGTTGCAGACTGCACATGTAGTATCAGTATTTCATACTCGGTCTCTAAGCTACTCAATGTGACCTTTCACCATGCTTCATTATCAACAAGTTTCAGATGCTGTCATGCATTTTTCTAAACCCTTTCTTGTTTGCACTGAGGGCTGGAATGAAGTGCAACAATATTATTGTACATACTGATACCATACAGAATAAACACTCTGTGCCTGTCTGAACACCTGAGGGATTTTAAACCTCTCCTAATTGCTATTAAATATTTCTTTAGCTTTTCTGTAGTTTACCTAAGACTATGGGTGTATTAGCAGGCAGTATTATTCATTAAGGCAAGTAAGATGTGGATGTGTATGGAGAGACAGATACGTACACAAAGACTGGAAGCGATGCTCTTCTTGCAAAATGTATAGTCTTGGCTTTTGAAGCAAAAATATTGTGTTAATGCTCAAAGCAGGAAAATCAAAATGAGCTTTGCTGTCTAGCTCTGATATTACATAGGATATTTACTATCTGACCTCTGCATTTTCCATAGTAATTTTCTTTACTTTGCTGATGCTTCCTTTTGTCTTTCAAACCAACTACCAACTGCTCATATTTGCAAACAAAAATACTGGTTGACTGGGGGTTTTGCTTTACTTTGTTTGTGTGAGACTTTTTTAACTATTCTTAAAATTTATTAGCGTAAACTCAAGGTTAATTTTGACAACAGGCCTTTCAAAGGGGCTCATGAATGGAAAGTATTTATCTAATGACACATACTGGGTGTAAACTGTAAGCTTCTAAGCCTAAAAGCTAATGATTTAATGCTAATGTAGACACAAATGAGAATCCTTTGTGTGATAAGTTTTGTTCTTCTGTTTTAAATCTTAGGTTGCATATCAGGGTGATCCAGAAGGTGCCCTGATTCAGTTTGCCACACATGAAGAAGCAAAGAAAGCTATATCAAGTACAGAAGCAGTATTAAATAATCGTTTTATTAAAGTTTATTGGCATCGAGAAGGCAGCACACCACAAATCCAGACTACCACACAGAAGGTAGAGGATCTAAGTCTGTTTTAGTATATTATGTAAAAAAGAATCTTCAAAGCATTTTTGAGATTGTTTATATCAAGTAAACTAAGTCCCTTTGAAATAATGACTACTTACTTCATGTCATTAATTTCCAAAAGTCACTCTTCAGTTGTAAATTCTTTGACCTGATATACGATGTTCAGAAGTTGATTAGCAAAATGAGACCGAAGATATTTAAGGAAAGCCCTCCTGTGATTTTTGGTGTAGTCCACTCTGTTATCATGTCAAGCAAGATTTGATGCAGCTCTCTGCTGAATAATAATTATTTTGATTTAGTTAATATAGGCTTTTTTAATTTCTTCTGGTGAACATAAGAAAGGAAGCAGAGTTATATTTCTTTTCATGAAATATAATGTCCATTTTCTTCCAT